CTTCATGCTGTACTTGTGGATCTAATTCTGAACTTCCCAGTATCTAGTTGCCAAATGTCTAATGACATCCCTTGCAGGATTGGAGCTTGTTGGCAGAGAACAGGTCCTGTTCTTCCCAAACCAGTTGTAGAAAGGTTCTCATGAGCTTTTAAATTTCATGAAGATAACTGCTGAATCTCGTTTTATACTTATTGTTGCCTGACAAGATAGAACTTTGTTTTGTCTTGTTACTTTGCAGCTCCCACAATATAGTGGAGGCAACAAAACTTCAAAGTCTAGCTTCTGTCAACCGTTCAACAAAAGTAGACTTTCAAATGCTGCATATGCTTAATCATTCTGACTTCAATGCTGTCTTTTTTTTTTTCCTTCTTGCTGCATTGGTGAACCAGTGGGACATGGACTAATGGACTAATTATACTTTTCAGGGACAGTGGACAATGATTATGGATTGTTGGATATGTTCCACTGTTTCTAGGGGCTTCCACATAACTTGAATGTTTACTCTTGGCTCCAGTTTGCCAGGCTCTTCTCCTCTAAGCAGAGTGTTTTGTTTAATAGAGCTTTGGTTATCAAAAGGAGGAGTATAGCAAGGCTTTTTGGTGAATAAAAGCCTCTTTTGAGCAGAGGCTTATTTGTGTTGATGTGGCAAAAAGAACAATATTAATATTAAATGGCTGAACCAGAGTATCCCCAAGAAGATGGTGTGATGTAGAAGGATTTCGGAAAGCCATAGAATTTTTAGGCCTGGTACCTTAATAGTAATGTTGTGTAACTTTGTGGTGAGTTGGGATGTTTGTTCATGTATTACCTGTGAAAGCAAAGGAATGAGTATTTCTGTTAAATGGAGCTTAAGATGTATCATGAAACTTGGGCAGCAGCATTTTCTGAATCAGCTCTGCAAGTCTGATTTATGTACGGATTAGTTAGAATAGAGACGTGTTTTGAAATACGTACTCTTTGGGATATCAAATTCAAATTTCTCAAAGCATGTATTATTCTGAATCATTGCTGCTTTTGAAAATTACTACTTTTTTTTCTAATAGTAATTTTGTATTGGAAAATGAAATTTTCATGTTTAGTAGAGTGACTGGTCGCTTAAAGCTTCGTTTTGTGCAGATTTATGTCTGTTACTGCCTTTTTACACTTTTTCTCTTTGTCCTGCAAGTAATGGCTGGGCAAGAGTCAGCATGTGCTGTGAATAACTGTGTGCTAATTTGTTCAGATGTCCTGCCTAGGCAGCTGTGAGGTCAGACAGAACATAGAACTGAAGCTCCTGTTGAAGTATTGGCAGCTAAAGTTTCCAATTTGATTTTTCTACATTTCTACTTTTTTGTTATAATTAATCTTTAGTGTTTCAAGTGCTGTCAAATCCCGACAGTGGATTTAAAAGCTGTGATTGGTGGCGAGTAATCAGGGTACCAAAGATGTAAATGCTGAGTGATCATTCCCCACCATAAGTCAACAGCAAATTGTATGGCATAAATTTCCTGATCTTTATCATAACAGTAACTTTTAAATAGCTTTGAAATAAAAAATATGATGGCCTGATCAGTAAAAATATTCACATTTCTCACAGCAACCTTTTCTTTGCACAAGATTCGGTACTGTTAGTGACTTTTTTAAGACTATGGAAAGATAAGTATTTCAAAAAACAACAGTGATGATGCAAGTTCTGTCTCTGACAGTATTTTTTATTTTGATTTCCAATTTTGATTTCATCCTATGGTATTGCACAGCACACTGCCGCTTGCTTTTTTGTAGATAGCTGAAAATTGTATATTATGGCTTGCTTGAAGCATGATCAACGCAGTATTGTGGATTCCTGTCAAGTCAGATGATAGTAACAAAAGTATAGCTAGAAAGAGCATACAGGTCACCAGCAAACAAGGAGAGACAACGGGCCTTTCATTGTGTTCTGAATGCTTGCTTGGAACGGGTGTTGATGTTCAAAGCATTGTGTGGTAATTCAGACAGAAATAGACAAAATGGTGCCTTTAATAGTTTCTGGTGTGATATTGAAGCTTTATAAAATTTTGCTTTCTAAAGGACTTGTCTGTATTTAAGACTTTAAGAAATTATACTTTCTCTGAGAACTCTTTAGGTAGAGAAACTTATGTGAAATTTAATTTGCATCTCTGGTGTGGTAAATGTTTTAACCTGTGTTTGTATAGCTATTGCTTTCAAACTCTAAAATGAGAACTTCTTGCTGAAGCATGTGTGACTAAGTCTAGGTTCTTTTGCTTGGTGGTTGTGTGGTGGTGTGTGTTGCACATTAGTAATACTGTTCTCTGTGCTACTGGTAACAGAGAACTGATAAAGAGTGCCTGGCAGATTTAATTAAATAAAATATAATAGTGACTTAAGGCATATTTCAGTTGTTACTGCTTTTGTGTTCAGGTATTTAGAAGAAATTGGTTGCTCCAGGAAACACTTTTGGAAGCCTACTTTCTGAAGATTTGCAAAAATTGCAATGCAAGAATTGATACCTTTAAGAAGCTTGCATCATTTTAAACCAAGGATGCATTTGGACAGCACAGTCCTTTGTACCTGTTTGCATATTCATAGAACTGTTATCTACTGTAGCTCCATAGCTGGTAATGATCTAAAGTCACACAGGACCTTGTTTTCTGATTTCTCCCAGAAATTGTGTGGTCAGGAAGGCTTGAGACTATTTGACACGGAGTTGGTGGTTTTTTGGGGATGTGTGGTTTTTGTTTGTTTTTTTTTTTCATTTTCCCCTCACCGTAGGCAGTTCAGGATGAAGATGAAGCAGAAAACTAGGAGGGACAAAGGTGAAAAACTAGGTTATGGTTTGACTGTTGCAGTGAGTTGATCTCAGTACAGGTTTCAGTGATACTAGAGACATGGTAATTGTGATGAGTTTCTTTGATCTGACTTGTTTTGGGTGGTAGGAGAAGGTGGAGTAATTTCATAGCCTGATATGCATGGGCAAGAGGACCTCCTCTTTCATTCACTTAGGCTGGATGCAGACTAATCATCACGGTACAGCCCTGAGTGTTATCCTGCTAGGTGCAGGATCAAGTAGGGGCTGTTCTAACACTTGTATTTCTGCTTGTCTGAAATGAGGCACAACTTTTTCTCCTCTTCAGTGTTTCCTGATGTTCCTCCCAATATGGAAGTTGGAGTTGGTGGGGAACTATGTAGATTTGGACTCCTCCAACTCTTGCCTGCTAGGTATTCTGTAACTAGCCACAAACAGGACTTCTTTTCTTCCTAGCAATCATGACTGCTAGTTGGTACACTTATACTCCCAAATCTGAAGTATGGAAACACTACTGCTGGCCCACATCAGACTATCCACTGCATGTATTTAAAGCTATACTCATAAATGTTCTGACTTCATAAATTTTGTCAGCAAGAAGTAGCGCTTAGGTGAAAGATTGCTACTATTAAAATAGTGCTTCATGCTGCTATTATTTTAGAACACAATTGTGAATTTTTTGACTAAGTTTATATCTTCTAAATTTGTATGAAGAAGTATTAAACAAATACTTTCAGTTTATTTCATCTGTTGCCCTACTGCAAATAATGACTGTTTAAATTTGTGAACTCAAATCAGTGATTGAACTTAACCCTTTTGTGGAGTACAGTTGCCGAATGAATGCTGAATGGCTGAGTTTACTTGAAGTAGGAACTACTGATCTTGTTTTTAGATGAGTATTTAAATCATTAATATAGAGCTATCCTTTGATCATTAGATCTCTTTCCATTGTTGTTGTTTCCCTCTATTAGTAGATGACAATAAGGACTGTGGAGTGTTGGACATGCAAGCAGGCTGTATAAAATAGAGACATCAAGTATGAAATACATACTTGTGCTGTCTCATCTCTCTAATCCTAAGCAATCTTCAAAATGACCTATTAGAGGATAGCTAATGTTTGGTTTATCGTTTGGGTGCATATTCAGGTTACTTGCAGAGTAGTCTTAAGTGCTTAAAGAAACCATTTGAAGTGTGACAACTCCTATGTTTTGTTTTGAGAACAGTCACCTTTCCTCTTGTTTTGATCAGGAATTGAAGCTTAACATACTGAGAATTTTGTAATTAGTTCACCTTTTGCTCACTTACAGCTACAATTATAAAATTAAAGCAGAGCAAGAGTTCTTCCCCCTCTTCTCTCATACCCTCCATCAAATTAAATGTATATGATAACATAGGAGCTGCATCATGATAAGAAAGGCTGTTTAAGAAGTTCCTATACTCAAATAGTAACTATAAACACTAAACCTCAGATCCTTTAAAAACTACCATTTGGGACTTATGGCATATGGAATCTCTTGAAACAGCTTAAACACTGCAGTACAGGTAAGGGAATGTGTAGAATTAGGTGAAGGAGAAGCGTCTTAAGGATCACAAGTAAAAATCAAGTGCTTTGTCCCTTCATGAGTACATTTTACAAATATTTTGTAAAAGCAGTATTTGATGGTAAAATTGGATGCTAGGATTTGCTTGCCCTACTGTGACAGATGGTCTTTAAACTTTAAGTATTTAGACCAGTACATGGTGCACCAGTCAGCTGTTAAAGCTCAGTCTGGAACAAAAAATGTGCAGCCACACACTTTTTAATGGTTTGATGTATTAACAATTGTAAACTTAAATAGACTTTGAAGTAAGATATTTTCTCTGATTGATCCATGTTTGGTTTTTTAAGGTGTGCAAACAGATTTGGCTAGGCCTATTTGATGATAGATCATCAGCAATTCCAGACTTCAGGGATCCACAGAAAGTAAAGGAATTTCTACAGGAAAAATATGAAAAGAAAAGATGGTAAGATAGCTTTACAATTATAAAAATTGCCTCTATGACAAGAAGTGAATATGGACTGTTCAACTCACGTTCTTGAATGTGCTTTCCTTCTTGTGTGCTTTTTGGACTAGATTGCACAGCTCTGTAAAGTAAAATGAATTCTGGACTTTATTCAGAGCTCTTACAGGCAGCAGAGAAGATAAACAATTTAAAGAAGTCTCTCAATGTGTAGTTCATATTGATAGAACACAAATGGCTTAAGGGTATGTCAGCAGCAGTGTAAAGTAAGAGTTTTGCAGGCTTTTATTAGGAGGTGGAAGATGTGTGGTTTGTATTTAATAAGTGCTATAAAATATTGATGATTTGGAATTCTAGTCCATTTAAAAAAAATACCTGACGTATTTAAATAATGGATATTTTGCAAACTACTGATAGAATTTGTTGCAGGGTTAGTGGTTAAAATCGCAATGCTGAGATCTCCCAGTTCTCTCGCTTTATTCTTATGAATGTTGAGCGGAACTTTTCATGTTAAACTTGTGAAAACCATTGCTCTTTTTGAATGTAGGTATGTTCCTCCAGAGCAAGCAAAGGTGGTGGCATCAGTCCATGCATCCATATCGGGGTCTTCTGCTAGTAGTACAAGCAGCACACCTGAGGTGAAGCCACTCAAATCTCTCTTGGGAGAAGCTGCACCCACACTGCACTTAAACAAGGGCACACCTAGCCAAGTGAGTAATGACAGAGCTGAAGAGCACAGAGCTCTTCAGCAGTATTTTTTCCTCTTTCAGTGGCACAAGAATTCTTGCAATAGCAACTGTTACCTAATAATATGATCACTAAAGACAACTTTATGTATTTTGCTGAAGGTATACAGGTGTTTGCAGATTGGCTTCTAAAAACTTTGAACCTAATGCGAGATTAGTTGTGAATATGTGGATGAAAAGCATGCATGTTCATTATTACTTCCTATGCATTCTGTAACTGTCTTGTCAAGTGGCTTTCAGGGAGTGTCAGTATGCTGTTATGTAAAGCCAAACAACATTATGTACTTAGATATTGGAGGGCAGATCGTTTTGAAAAACTGTTTTGCCTTTAGGATACAGGCAACCCTTGAATGGACCTCATAAGACTCAAACAGTAGAAATTTGCAGCTTGCAACCTTGCTATGAAATTCTTCTATTTTTTTCTCCCTATACTGAATTCTAAAGATTTTTTCAGAATACAGTGAAAAACTATTTTCCAACTTGTGAAATTAGAATTCCTTTAAAAGCCACCATAGTAGCATAAATAGATTGTCTTCCTTGTACTATAGGAGCAGGGCCTGTAGGAGGATGCTGTACACAGCATCTTAAACTTAGGAGTAAATGGCTTGTTAAAGAAATATGCTTAGTCTATCCTTCTAGTATTTTGCAAAAACCAGTGTGATAAAAGATCAACTCTTTTGTATTAGCTAATTGAAATGTTGTGTGTAGTCTCCTGTTGTAGTTCGATCTCAAGGACAGCAGCAACAAGAAAAGAAACAATTTGACCTCCTCAGTGACCTTGGCTCAGATATCTTTGCTGCTGCTCCTCCTCAGTCAACGGCTACAGCAAATTTTGCTAATTTTGCACACTTCAACAGTCATACAGGTAAGTATTCTGAGCAGTGTATCCCTTTTAAATGTATAAAATGCAGTTTTAATTTTTGATGACTAGTCTAAACTTCATGAGGTGTATGTAATTTCTGTGCCTTGAGTATGTTGTATTGCTCAAGATTTCCTTTAGGTCTTTATAAAGAAAGGTTGAAGATATAAAGGCTGATAATCCTGCTTTATGAAGTGGGAGTTGCTATAGCTGTTATCTATGATATGTATAATTAGACTGTTTCTGCCTTCTACTAGAACTTTAAATTCTTTCGGGGACAGAGTGAGAGGATGAGTAACAGAACATAGGGAGAAGCTGATATTAGACCTTCAGTTTTCTTTCGGAAAATTATTAGGAAGAGCATTCATGGAAAGAAAGCAGATACAGAGACTTTAAGGGAGTTCAAATGCATTGACAATAACTGTCAATTTGTTAAGAGAAAAACAAAGGCTTCCTCAGTTTAAAGAATGACCTCCTCTTTTGTGTGTGTGTCTATTTGAAAACTGAATACTACCCATGTGGGTAGCACTCTGTAGTTTCAGGAAGAATAAACAAGCTTTGAGCATATGTATTGACTGAGGATGGGGGCAGGCCTTGAATTCTTAACGAATGACTTTAGTAAAATATATTGAGCCCTCAGGGTTTATTTTCAGCCAAAGATCTTGAGCATGAAAGTCTATCCTAAAGAAAAAGTTGATTCTGTGGTTGCTGAAGTATGTTGTTGTTAACTTGCATTGTAATTATGGGAAAGTACCTTTGCCTGCCTTGTCTGAATGGCCTTTTCATCCAGTTTTTCTGAGAGAAATTGTGATACTGCTAAGCCAACAAGAATAAGATTTCTTGCAAATCAGTCCTGAAATTGTTAGCAGCTGAGAGGAAGTGTGACAGAGGGGACTTAAGGCACACCTGAGGAGCTGAGCAAAGTTTCAAGGCTTTCTCAAAGTTAACCTTCTAAAAAAAAAAAATAATTGTGAAGTAACTGGCTATTTTGTAAAATCCTTAACGTAAGATTTCATGTTAATCATGTTTTTGGAGGCATGTTTAACAGGGGGAACTTGTGCTGACTGGCCAGTGTTGTGCAGTGTTACTGGAGAGGCTACGGATATTTCTTTCTAATAACTTATTCTTTCCAAACTGGTTGCTGAATAATTCTATATTTATATACACTTAATTACTCTTTGTGGGTTTCAGGAGATGAAAATTCCATTAAAACAGTATTTCAATACTGTGTTCCAAATCTGGGTAAAATTCCACTGCATCTCTGCTGGGTGATTTTTAAAAGGGTAAAAAGCGATATGAACATTCCAGAATAAATATAATCATATGAAAGAATTTGCTAATTTCTGGGTGAAGTAAGTGCTGAAAATCAAAATTGAGGAATACTCAGCTGTACTGACTGCTTTTCTGTTTCAGTAATTAACCATGGTGGTCATTCCCATGACTCCTTTCCCCAAATTTTAAAACTCAAAACAGTTTCGGGGCTGGTAAATGAGTTTCTAAAAGTCAGAAATCTAATTCTGAGCATGCAGTAGCTGACTGTGTATTGCAGGCTGGTTTATCTGAAGATGTTTTCTGACTTCCTAGATTAAAACACTTGTAAGGCTTGTTCTGTGTGTAGTAACCACAGGGTAGTATTAACTGAAACTAATAATGAAATGTTAGACTCTTCCCTTTGGAACACAAGGAGGGTTGATCAGCCTGCCAACTTTGGCAAAAATGAGTTTAAAATACTCATTTAAGGAGCTGTATAAACATGTAATTTTTGTTAGTAATCACACACTACAGCAGAGGATGGAAGAACTTGCACTTAGTCCAGCACTACATTCTCAAAGTTTATGATCCAATGTTCTTGTGTTAGGGCTTGGTTTTCTCTATGCCTACAGGGGATGGACTTTTCTTTTTCCCTTCATGTATGCTATGGTTAACTAAAGAAATCACTGAAGAGCACCGGCAAATTTAAGGTCTTCCATTATAAGTTACTGTTTCTGCAATTAAGGCACAACTGAGTGCAGCAGCTGGTAGGAAAATATTAACAAGCTTGTGCTGTGGTTTGTAAAGTGTAGATATAAAGCTTGAAAATTATGCAGGAAATGCAACTTTTGATACGTTCCATTTTTTTGGAGTTTTCTAATGTACTAAGCTGACTCAGGACATTGTTGCATCTTGAAGGCAGAAATACATTTACTATCTGTATTTAATTTACAGAGTTACATAACTTCTGCAAAACGATGAGATTTTTTGAAGATGATAATAGATAACTGTTCTCTGTCTGTAGTTTAGAAACTGGTAATAATGACAAAAAAGATAAACATTTTTGGCATGTAGACTTTCTATAAACCATAGAATAGAAGACCTGCACAAAAGATATTAAAAAGACATAGTGACAGAGCACAATTCTGTTATAGGTAACAATGGAGAAGAGGCTTTACCTAGAAGAAATAAAATAGTATGGTGTAGTTATTGTCTTCTAGAGAATTATTTTCAGTTTTGTAATTGAATATATGTGGACTTCAGGTTTTTTTATTTTGCAGTGTTTTGTGCCTCTTCCACATGAGGTAGTGCAAACCTCACAGAAGAAACTATGTGAAGGCTGTAGGGGCAGCTTGCATTGCCATGATTGGTGCTGTCATACTTGAGCAAGCTTTAGACAGCTAGCTTTTGTACTGCCTTGTTGATCTGCAGTCACAACAGCAGTTGTAAATCTATGCCATCCTGCAGTCCACTGCAGTTCCTAGGGTTCCTTGGGTTTCTGTGTGAAGAGCTGAATTTTGGAATTGCCAATCTACATATTGTTCAGGTACAGGGAAGTACAGGTCTTACCTGGTCATAGGTTTAAACTTTACCACATAAAATAAAGCAAGATTAACATCTGAATACTCTGGAGAAGAGTCTTTAGAGCTCTAATGTTTTAACATGGGCCCACTTGCAAATCATACTTTCTGTGTCAGCTGATGCAATAAAATTAAGTGACCTGCAATGTAATACATTCCAGTTTTTAATCTAGATCCACAAGGTATTTTATTTAAGAGTCTTGACATAGTATTCTGTTTGTGTGAGTAGTTAAAATGAAAAATTTTGTCACAATTCTAGGAGTGACATTTATGTAGTTAATCCTATTTGGTCAATTAAATATCAGTCTCTGAGCATCCCCTAGCCAACTGATGCATCAGGATGAAAGCATCACTTCCATTTTACAGTAAGGTGCAATTGAATTCTTAATATATTCCTTTTAAAGGGTACTGGGTTAAAAAAAAAAAAACACAAGCAAAACAAATTGTGGAATTTGGAGTTGAAGTCTGTGGAATGCTGTTTGAACTAATACAGATGGCATAATAATAGAAACTATTTTTCCTCTACTTGTGTCAACTTTTTCTCCTTGCATAATTTAAAGGCAAACATTTTAGGACAGAACTTTCCCAAAACCTTGTTTTGTCATTGATTTCTCCCTCAGCCCCCCCTTGTTGACTCTCGTGATGTGGTGAGTTGACCTTGGCTGGCCACCAGGTGCCCACCAAACTGTTCTCCTTCCCCCCACTGCAGCAGGATGCAGGGAGAAAATACAATGAAAAAGCTTGTGATTCAGGATAAGGACCAGCAGATAACTTGCCTGTTACTGTCATGGGCAAAACAAACTTGACTAGGGCATGATTAACTTAATTTATTGTCAGTTAATAATAGAGTAGGATAGTGAAAAACAAAACTAAAACCACATTCACCCCTTCTTTCCAGGCTCAATTTCACTCCTGACTCTTCTACCTCTTCCTCCAGAGGGGGATGGGGAATGGGGTTGCAATCAGTTCATACCACTTAATCTCTGCCAATTCTTCCTCCTCATGCTGTTCCCCTGCTCTGCTGTGGGGTCCCTCCCCACAGTGGGATGCAGCCCTTCACAAACTTCTTCAATGTAGGCCTTTCCCACAGGCTGTAGTTCTTAAAAAACTGCTCCTGCCTGAGCCCTTTCCATGGGGTACAGCCTTTTGGCATGGACTGCTCCAGTGTGGGCCCCCTATAGGGTCACATCTCCTCCCACAAAACCTGCTCCAGTATGGGCTTTCCACAGGCTCCAGCTTCCTTCACAGCATCTCTGCCTGCTCTGGCATGGAGTCGTCCCCGGACTGCAGGTGGGGATCTGCTCCAGCGTGGGCCTCCATGGGCTGCCAGGGAATCTCTGCTCCGGGCCTGCAACTTCTTCCCCTTCCTTCTACGCTGACCTGGGGGTCTGCAGGGCTGTTTCTCTCGCATTTTTCTCACTACTCTCTCTCACAGCTGTTACACAGTGTTTTTACCCTTTCTTAAATATGTTATCGCAGAGATGCCACCAGCATTGCTGATGGCCTCAGCTTTGGGCGACAGCAGGTCTGTTTTTGAGCTTCTGATTTCACAGAGGCCACTCCTGCAGCCCCCAACTACCAAAACCATGCCATGTAAACCCAATATGCGTGCATGCTTCTAATAAAAAGTAGTGTCAAGTAGAGTCAAACCTCACCCTCTCTCCCAATATCCCCTGTGAAAGGAAATATTTGCACTTTCGTTTATATTAGCAGCATTGTGGAATGTAGTAGTTTGTATAAAAATGTCCTTTTGGTTTATAAATATGTAGTACAGATACTTTTTTAATAGAAATTAGGTGAATAATGCAACTTTCTATTAGCATCTGGCTATTAAGTAACAGTACTTAAACAATCAGAGTAACTTATTGTTTTTGTATATACTTAACTTGCAAAATCCCTCCAGAATAAACAAATCCTGACCGAAAAATATAATGTATTGCCATCTGTTATTCTAGAAGGTGTTTTGTGGGCTTTCTTTAGATATTAACTCAAGTTACCTGTATATAGGAGTTTGGTTTGCATTTGATTAAAAACGCCTTTTTTTCCCCTTACTTCCTTGCTTATAACAATGTTTAATACTTTCTGTGGAGCTGATCAATCAATCAAAGCTGCAATGCAATTTCTCTTGAATCTATAGATGCTTGAATGTCCCGCTGTTTGAAGTCAGATGAGTGTTAACTTTTATTTTCTCCTATAGTATGGCATGAAAGGAAGGCAAAAACTGGAATTCTGTTTGAAATTTTCTTGGATTTTATTTTGTGGATATGCTCTATGAATGCTGTTTTCCTGACATTGGTATTGATTTTCCATATTTCTGTACTCTGATTTTAATTTTTTAAAAACTGAATTTTCCAGTGAAATGAATTTATAAACCTAACCAAAACTATTCAAGTGGTGCCAAACTAAATTCGCTCAAGGAAGAAACATTTTGTATATGAGGAATTCAAATTGTCAGTGTGTTACAAGAATACCTTCTAATTTTTATTCCCAAAGAAATGTTCAGTTAGACCACAAATTCTAGTTCTGGAAACTAGCAATTAGAGTGCTACCTGGTTTGGGTTCTACAGGTGTACATCTGGTATTCTGTACTTTTTGGCTGTGTGTCTCTGACCAGTCACCATTGCAAACACTCGAGGGCTAAGCTGAACTGGGCTTCATCAGGTCATGCAGTTGTGAGTAGTAGCACATGTGAGGAGGAGACAAGTAGTGTTAACTGGTACAGCTCTGTGAAGGTGATTTGTGAAAGCTTATTCAAAGACAACTTTCAATTGTGAAGTGTCATGTATAATTTTTCCATGTAAAAACAAATTACAAGGTAGGATATAACTCCTGAAGGCTGTCATGACCATGAGTTCAGTTAATACATCCGGTTTTGTGTTTATTTCCCATATCCATTAACATGTTTTGTTCCTTTGCAATTTACAGCGCAGAACTCTGCAAATGCAGGTTTTGCAAACTTTGATGCATTTGGACAGTCTAGTGGCTCGAGTAATTTTGGAGGTTTCCCCACAGCAAGTCAGTCTTCTTTTCAGCCCCAAAATACAGGTAGAACTCCTAGCACTTTTAATTAATACTTAGTTGAAATAATCCTTACCTTTATGTTGGAAGGTACTTGAGTTTATTTCTTGCATCTGCCTGCTTTAACGCAATCAAGCCGTCTGAAGCTCTGGGGAAACTCAAAATGAATTCCTTGTGTTTGTGTTGATTTTCTTTTTTCTTTTTTTTTTTTGCTAATACTCAGAAGTCTGATTTATGGCACTATATTTGTTAGCTCTACACCTGAAATAACTATGAAAAGAGTAAACCATCCTGCTTTTGATAAATATTGAATTGACTCTTTATCTGATGACCCGAAAGCACATCACAGTACCAAAAAAAGTGTGTGTCTATGCTTATGTATAACATATGCACACACTTCAGTATGTTTGACTTCATGTGTAGAGCCAATTGCTAAGATTTATTTTGCTTTCCTTTAATTTGATCATGCTTAGAACTTCTGCTTGAGCTTACACTTGCTGTTTGTCTAGATCTTTGGCTGACTGACTTTCTTTTCCTTTTTTTTTTTTCTTTTGAGTGTGGTGTCATTTTAAACTTTTTTTTCAAATTTTCTTTCTCCCTTCTTATGTTAACTTTAACCCACACACAATTTCTGGCTGTCCAGCGTTCAGAACGCTTTCATCTAGCTGCAGTTTTGGTGAATTTACTTCAGCTTTTCCTCTCCAGGCTGTGCACAGTAAGTTCCACGCAGTGGAAAATTCAGCTTGCTTCATTTTATGCCATTGTAGCATAGCATTTTCATTCCTACCGTTGCATATGTTTTAACTTATTGATTATGCTATTAGAAAGTTGTGTGTTCTGTAGTATGAGTAGAATCCTCAACCAGCTGTTACAAAATGTGATACACTTAATGGGACAACTCATTTAAATTTAAGTACATGACCTACCTAGGTTAAATTGTCTGGACACTGAAGAGATGGAAGCTCGTGGTTTTGTATTTGAACTGAAGTTCAGTTGTGTGGACCTAAGTCAGATGTTAAAAATTGATTTATGTATCTCTGACATCAGTGGAGACTTGGTATAAAAAGAGCTGTGTTGTGTCTTCCCCCTCACCTCTTTCCTGATTGGATGTAGTCTAAAAATCTGAGAACAGAGACGCAAACTATCTCTCTAAACCTTGGCATGAAATCATACTACTCTTGGACTTCTAGGCATTGTTTTTTGCCTAGAACAATGACTGACATCTGAAATGGTTAAACATTGTACCATTAAGTAAATGCGAATAGTAGCTATTCATTAAACACATGACAGGAAAAATGAAGCTTCTGTATTTTGAGTATTAGTCAGACAAAAGCTTATTTTTCTAGCAAAATAGTATTGTTGAAATTACTTTAACAGCTAATAAATAGCATATAGTTTTTCAAGATCAAATTACAACTGTGATTTAAGCTGTTGAAGCTTGGGAGTTTTTTTGGTCCCTGATCTGCAGACTGAAAAATACAAAATTTTATTTTTCTGATGACCCAATGTAACTTTGAAGGAAACGGGAAAGGGTCTTATGTGTAGCATGGGATGGGGGAACACGTTGCCTCACGAACCACAAAGAGGTGGGATTATTGTGCTGTCAATTACAGTTGGAGAGGCTTTTTTTACCTTTGGAGTGTTGATTGTGTTTAACTTAATTTGTTACAGGTGGAAGTGCTGGATCAGTGAATGCTAACTTTGCTCACTTTGATAACTTCCCCAAATCCTCCAGTGCTGATTTTGGAGCCTTCAATGCTTCTCAGAGCAATGCAACAGCAGCTGCAGCCGGTAAAGCTGCAGTGAATAAACTCAATCTCCAGTCAGCTGACAAATATGCAGCTCTTGCTAATTTAGATAATATCTTCAGTGCAGGGCAAGGTATTAAACTTTTTTTTGACATGATTATTCTATGTGTGTATCCTTACCGCAAGGGTGGCTGTTCTTGTCAAAATAGTAACTGTATTTCAAAATGTCCTTTCTTTATCAGTAGAATTTTGTGTCAGTGTACCCTTAATATGTTAAGATAAAAGTTTTAAGACTAACATCGCTCCAGAAGGATGTCATCAGAAGACTGCTTTTTGGGAACCTACTTCCTATCAAGATGAATAACTATAAGTGGAAATACCTAAATAATTATTATGGCAATGGTGAAAATACATAAAAATATAAATATGTATTTTATATTTGTGCAAAAACCTGTAGTAAAAGCTCTTGAATGGAGAGCTACAACTATTGCAGAGAACTGCTAGAGTAGCTTTCCTACCTCTCTACCACAAAAAGATTTGACCTGAATTTTTTATAAACTAGTAGCAGTGATACTTGGATTTAGTTGATTTTAAGTTAAGGAGAAAAAAATAGTTATTCTGTAACTTTTTTCCTTCTCAAATGGTGTGTAAAAACTTGTGTTGGTGTGTAATGCAGAGCTTTGTTCTACAAATAGATTGTTTGAGGGTATGTTTGTTAAATTTTCTAGTTGAAGATGGCGGTAGTATTGAGTTATTTTCCAGGGAAACCAGAGGCTCTTTGGAGCTGCAAACTATCTATAGAAGTATGGCACTTTGCTAATAGCTAATGACTTGTTAAACATTTTTTTTCCTGTATGTCTTAGTACATATTTAATTTTTTAAGTCTGAAATTTAAACTGTCCATGAACTTTCATTTAGCTTTCAACATTGGCAGGGCAGAAAGTGAAACCATCTTCATCGCTTTTAATCTGGTTTCTTTCTTTTGAGGTGCTGGTGAGCAAGGAAGTGGCTTCAGTACAGTAGTGTCAGCATCAGCAGGTCCTGCGTTGTCAGCCCCAAATCAGTCAAGTGCATCTTCAGACAAGTATGCGGCTCTAGCAGAATTGGACAGCGTGTTCAGCTCCACAGCAACCTCTAGTAACGCGTATACTTCCACCAGTAATGTTAGCAGGTACTTTGTTAAAAGTAGCTGACTTTCTACATGGACTTCAGCAATATGTAGGAAAGTAGCTCAAAGTTGTTTATCAAATCTGGTTTTATTTCATATCTAAATGGGGAAATGTTGAATGAGTTTAGAGGTACTACTGAAACTGCATCCTTTGTTTTATATAATAGCAGTACTGTCTGATAGGATATTATTAAGATAAAATTTCTGTCAGCAGAATGTTCTCTGCACCTTTCTAGTCATTACGTGCTAAACCTGTTAGATGGTAACACTTTCCTGTACAGAATATTTGCATGCATACTGAGAATGATGGCATTGTCCCTGGCAAAAAAATTATTCAACTATTTATAATGTAAATAGTACCAAACACAACTACTTTTTTAGATCATTATAGTAACAAATACCAAATGCCTGTTATAGCTCTGCTAGGTGTTGCAAGTGCCCCTAAAGCTTCTGCTTTGCAGTCTTTATGCTGGTAGCCTCTGTTCAATGTTCTTTCTCCTGCTGTTGGAGGAGATGACTTTTCATTGCTCAGCACTAGTTATAGTCTTTGACCCTGGTATCAGGGGCTCAGTTCTTGGCATCGGTGAATTATATTGCAGTTTGCAAACTGCACCTAAGCATTGCTTTTCTATTATATTACATGCCAACAATAACTGTAAATCGTATTTAATTGTTAAACAAGCAATTCTGACTTCACTGAATGTATGAATTATTTTCAGCAATGCTTTTGGAACAGTACCCGTGGCTGCTACTGCACAGACACAGCCTGCGTCTTCGAGTGTGCCTGCTCCATTTGGAGGTATATAAGTGTTATAACACCTTTTGTGGACTGTAAGCAAACATCTTACTAATTTGTAGTTGATAGTGCTGTACTTTGACACTAGTGATACTGAAGTTACTAAGGGATGCCAAAAAGTACTGGTTTTGTGATGCATTTCAAATTAAGCATTTTATTATCGATTCCCAATTTTTCATGTAACTTTAGATATTTATGTATCTGTTTATACAGCTTTTATGCAGAATGTGAGTCAGATTGGCTGTTTTTTTAAAGACTTTATTTAATAAATTGTTTTTAATCTTTCAGCAACACCTTCCACAAATCCATTTGTAGCTGCCCCTGTTGCCCCAGTGGCACCTTCAACAAATCCATTCCAGACCAATAGCCGAGGAGCAACAGGTTAGGAAAAAACCAATAAGTGTTTGAGAAACTCTTTCAAGACTTGCATTGATTCTTTTTTTCATAGCTGTGTGATTTGTTCCTTAAAGGTTCTCTGTATTATCTCTCTAGTCTATTTGACATGTTATGTGTTCAATGTAGAATACAACATTTATGAATAGGCTGCAGAAATCAACTTTTTTGAGATCAGTGATGTTGTTTTTATTGGGCTGAGGACATTATTTTCCTGTTTCTGGCTCAATCCTAGAATTTCAGATGGTGGCCATGAAAAACGTCAAAATGATCTGTTTAAGATCTTCTGATACTACCTAAGCTATGTGTAGTCTGTGTATTACCAGTTGGGTAACTTCCAAGACTATAACCTTGGCTCTGAAGCATGCTTCATAGCAGGTTGCCCTGAAATCAGGGATCTTGAAAACCTTGCTACTAAGCTGGTACACTTGCTTTTTTTTTTTAATTTTTTTCCTTATTTCAAAGTCCTGAAAGCCCTCAAAACCAAATAGCTGGAGCTAGAACCATGAGAGACAAGGCTTTTGGGCTGTTAGCTCCTCACCAGTCCACTTACTCAGTACATTGGTAGTGTCATTTATTTCTCTTTTACAACAGTAAAACATGTTTAATCACTACACTCATGAATTACATTAATTTTCTGGGGGAGGATTCTGTGGAATCAGAATTTCATAGACAAAAACTTAATTGCTTTTTAAAAAAATAACTTTTCTTTAAAACACTGAACTTGGATTTAGATGACTGATAGATTGTGCTAATTTTCCTCTCCAAAGGGGCTGCTAAACTTTGGCACTTTTATCTGTTGGCTGGACTTCCACAGATTTAAATCTGCTGATGTATGCATTTTAATATTGAGTTGTGCTTTGCTTGAAGTTGTAGGTAGGTTGAATTCAACTCATCAGGCTGAGTTAAAACCAAATTGATCAAATTCATGTCCTCTGCTAAACTGAATTCTCTTTTCTGTCCCTTTTGAGATATTATGCAGTTGAATTTGTTCAGCTATTTAATGCCCAAAATATCTTTTTCCTTATTTTAATCCCATTCCTAACTATGCTATTTTGGATCATTAAGAACTTGTAGCCTCTTTAGAAAAATTTGTTTGCATATGGCAAGTTTATCCTTTCACCTTCTAAACTGCTATCCTTGGCTTGCAGAGGTTCCAACCCTTTGGCAGCTATGCTGATGTTATGTACTAGTGACAGAGATAATAACTATAAATAAACAAATATTCTACCCTTTTTAGTGTAAGGTGTAAACTTGTAGCTTGTACTTGTATGCTAAGCTTGCTTTCTGCATGAACTTTACTATTTGTTACATGGGAGATCTGTTTTGTAGCATTTATTTCTAATGGTTTTCTTAGCTTAATCTATTGCTGGTCATGCTATGGACAAATTGTTTGGTACATATATGTGTGTATGTTTATATATGTAATGAAGAAATTACTGTTCAGGAGTGTATAAATGATTTGACATTGTCTGGTCTCTTTGTGGCTTCCATAAGGCCTCTCAGGAGCAATGCACTCTCACATATTTCCTCAGGCTCATTTTGGTAGGTGGCCACATTTGGTATCAAGTTTCTTGTGGCTAATTGTTCTTGCTTGTAAAAGCTTATTGATAGCTATCTGGTTCTCTGCACGTAGAATTTCAGAAGAATTTCCATTTTTTAAAATGGAGTGGGTGTGGGTATTTGGCAACTGGGCAAAGGGAGAGAAGAGCATACATAGGCAACCTATTAAGCAACTAAAACAAAACCATTATTGATAGCCTACATGGTCACAATATAATGCTAACAAGTTTGGTGACTCTTGAAGTTTCTACCAACAGTAGCTTGATGCCTTTTGGGATATCCCAGTTCACTGCTCATTTTGTGGTTTTGTTTGCTGTTTTAGCAAGTTTTCCTGTTGAATAGCTTCTCTGCTAACTCTAACATGAGAACAATATTAGTACATTAGTTTTGCATGTACTTTGTCAACAGTTTATGTATGTATAATGTCTTGCCCTTGAATACTTTTGGGGTAAATTTTCAACTGATAATTAAGCTATATTCATTAAATATATTGGTTTTTTAAACAGTTGAGCTTGCATAAAATCTAACTTGTAACATTTCAGAAGAAAAGTCCTGTCTAATGTTTAACTATAGTAAAATGTCTGGTGTTTGTACCAAAAAGGGTCTATATGACCCTGCTTTCAAGAATAACTCCCAAAAGACTGAATAATGGTTTTGTTACTACATTATCGCACTTGATGTGCTCCTGTTTATTTACTGAAGGCATGTGGAATAGCATATGAGCTGCGTGTTATTTACTTGAAATGTTCAGCAGAGAATCAGATGAAAAGTTTTGGGTTTTTTTGTTTTAAGTATTATCTCAACAGCAAGAGCATTTGCAATTGGAACTTATGTGCAAATAATGTGCATGGTGAGAATTTCCTAATTTCCTTTAAAGTGACGTTAAGGATGGGATGAAGAGAGAGGGGATGCATGTAGGCCTTATGATTTTTTTTTTTCACTTGTAATTTCTGTAATGCAGCTTGAAGTAGGAAGATCCTTTTGTGCTTTTCTAAGAAGCAGAAAAACAGAGGGGCTTATGCTACCTGAAAGTGCTTGCTTCTGATGTGTACAGACTTTTGCCAGAAAAACTCTGGGGGAGGTATATGATAACAGAGAACTTAAAGAAATAATTTCCTTTTCAGAAAGTATATCTGAATGTGCTGGATCTATTAAATTTTAAATGATTCTGTTCATTTTTAAAGTGCAAAAGTAAATTATGCACCTAGTTGGTGGTGATCCAAGCTAACAAATCAGTTCAGCGGCTGTAGAAGTTGAACCTAACTCTTGTATGGTCACTGATGCATGAGGAGACTTTTCTTAACATGGCATTATAGTAGTTTGTCTCATGAAAAAAAGTGACTTCTAACAAATAATTGAATGTTATTTTTTGCCTACCAGCAGCAACATTTGGTACTGCATCCATGAGCATGCCTGCAGGATTTGGAACTCCTGCCTCCTACAGTCTTCCTACTAGTTTTAGTGGCAACTTCCAGCAGCCCACGTTCCCAACCCAGGCAGCTTTCCCTCAACAGACTGCTTTTGCTCAGCAGCCAAATGGTAGGTCTATACATTTTAGATAATCTTGTTTAAATCGGAAACAGAGAGAAAATGATCTCTCTGTAAGTCAGTAATAATGGGTGCATATTTATTTCTATATGAACTTGATAATATTAACGAGGAGTTCCCACACTCTGTTTTGGCTCTGTGGTCAAGCTTTCTGACTTGGCTGTGTGCAGTGACATAACTGAAACTTTACTGTAATCTGATACTGAAATTATAAGTATTTCCAGGCTTAAAGGGTTTTTATGCAAGAAGGATTGTTTTGTTTTCATTTTTAGAGTGTCTGCAACAGATTGTAACACTTTAACTTCATAGAACACAGGCAAAAGAAAATTGGAAGGTACTTTCTCCCTAAGTTTAAATGATAAAATAACGTTGAAAAAAGTTCATATGTAGAAGTTGAATTGATTAGTTCTGAACAGTTGAAGACAAACAAAAAGTCCAGCCATATGTTTTTACACTTACGTTCCTGATGGTGTTTAAGTAGGATCAAAAGTTCAAGCTTCTACTTATTTTTGTGTGGGAGCTGTAGTGAAGAACTCTTTAAAGATTGGTTACTAGTATTCATGTTTTTCACTTATCTTTCCAAGGAGCAGGTTTTGCTGCATTTGGACAGGCAAAGCCTGTAGTAACTCCTTTTGGACAAGTTGCAGCTGTTGGAGTATCTAGTAACCCTTTTATGGTAAGTGAGTTGTTGCATACTACCTTCTGTATGTCTGAAGAGGCATAATCTGTAACACTTAATTTAGAGACACACAAAGTTGTGTGTGTGGGTTTTTTGCTTCAGATAAGGGAAGGCAGCATGTGAATCTCCTAAATGCAATTCAGTATTATGATGACATTTTTAAGGCTGTTCAAATCAAAACACGGGTACTTGTATACCATGCTCTTACAGTAGTATAATTTTGGAGAACAAAAAAAAACCCACTGCAACATGAAACAGAAATATTTCCTAATAGGTTGTTTTTTTATATATCCTGCATTTGACTTACAATATGGAAAAAAATCTTAAATATTTGTCTGTCTTTCATTTTCCTCCAGGCTGGTGCACCAACAGCACAATTTCCAACAGGAAGCTCATCAACCAATCCTTTCTTATAGCCTTACAGACACTTTACCCAAAAGAACTCTTATGTGGTCACATAACATCTCTGCGCCTCTTGCACTGTTGTCTTGTTTCACTGATATTAGCTTTAAACACAAAAGAAGTCTTTAAGAAGTAAAAATAAAAGCCTGCATTGTGTACCTTAAAAAAAAAAAAACCAACTGCACCACAAAACCCAAGAAAATGACACCCCCCCCACCAGGTAATAACGTGCAAAACAGAGGGCTGTGGTAATATCCTTGAACCTGTGAACTGGCAGGCAAAAAGTAGCGGTATCATGTATATTAAAATTGGCTAATAAGTTATTGCAGATACCACATTCATTATGCTGCAGTACTGTACATAATTTTCTTAGAAAATAGCTATTTGTGCATATCAGTATTTGTAACTTTAACACATTGTTATGTGAAAAATGTTACTGGGAAATAGATCAGCCACTTTAAGGTGCTGTTGTATCTCTTGGAATGAATGAGCAACATTTTAACCATTGGTATTGGAAGTCATGAAGTTAAATTGAAGGTTTGTTCATTTCTCAAAATGTTTTCCTTTCCTAAGAGCTCTTCTATTTATACATGCCTAAATCTCTAATGTTAGAGGGATACCTGTCTGCATAATAAAGCTGATCATGTTTTGCTACAGTTTGCAGGTGAAAAAAATAAATATTTGAAAAAACACTTGTGTAGCATTATTTCTGTGCAGTAACATTTATTGGGTTAAAATGTACATATTGTGAGTCTCGTACACAGATGAGTTATCAAAAGCGATATGCTTAAAGGTGAGTTAAGCTTAAAATTTTCACATGCCTCACTTGAATATGTTTGTGGCCTTGTGATTAAGCTTGCTGTTCTAGCTCAAGTGAAGTGACCTATCGAACAGGAAAATGTTAAGTGAACTTGGATTATTTTGACAGGATAGGTGCGTAATGAAGGATGCTGGAAGCACTGAGGAGGGTAGTTAGTTGAGAAATTAGTTAGTTGAAAAGACAAGTAATTATGGGTAGCTAATGACAGTGTTTTGTTGAAAGACTTAGTTGTGATCAGAACACTATGTGTAATAGCAGGCCAAGGTATGACAGATGTAATTAGGAGTCTTTTTTTATTAAAAATTGATATATATTAGTAAGACCACCTGTAGAATATTCAATTAAGCATTATGTTTTTATTTACTGGACTATCATAGAATCATCATGGTTGGAAGAGACCTCAAAGATCATCAAGTCCAACTGTGTACCCACTGCCACCATGCCTGCTAAACCCATTAAACCATGTCTTGAAGTGCCACATCTAAATGTTTTTTGAACACCTCCAGGGATGGTGAGTCCACCACCTCCCTGGGAGCCTGTTCCAATGCCTAATGACTCTAACAGTGAAGAATTTCTTCCTAATATCCAACTTGAACCTCCTCTGGTGCAACTTGAGACCATTTCTTCTTGTCCTGTCGCTAGTTACCGGGGAGAAGAGACCAACACCCACCTGGCTACAACCTCCTTTCAGGTAGTTGTAGAGGGCGATAAGGTCTCCCCTCAGCTTCCTTCTCTCCAAACTGAACAACCTCAGCTCCCCATCAGAGTTGTGCTCCAGGCCC